CAGCATTTGGGAAAGTGTGTTCACATCTTAGTGGACCCAGAATGAAAACTCTATTTGAGTATGCATTCTGTTTTATTGTTATATGTACCTTTGAGAATTCTGAATCTTTTGTTTTACTGCTGTTAGGTTTGGGTTCTTTATTGGAAAATCTTGGCTCAAGGTTCTGTTTCGGTTACTCATTTGGTGATCTTGCTTGAGTGACTTCTTAGTGACTGAAATCAGAAGCAAAGAGTGGTGAGGATACTGGCAGTTTTGTTTGAGTAACTTGCTTAGAGAAGGCATCCACATCATCTCTGTGGCCACATCCCACCCTGGGGTGTAGGAATGAGCAGAAAGGCTATTTGCCTCATATCCGACATCTTACAACATATAGAATCTTTCTCATGAGTTAATCCAGGTTACAAATATTGTTAGCTTGCTTTTATTTGTGAGTGTTAATCTTTATAAAAGTTAAGTGGAGTTTAAGAAAGCAACCCAACCCATATGGAGTTAAATGACTTTTTAAAAATTCAGCACCCAGTCAGACTCCTGTGAATGTTGGTGGAGAATTCCCCCCTTCCTTTCTTCCTATTTTCATAGGAAGCATACTAAAGAGGACAGCTGGTTATCTGTTCATTTTGTAGATAAGTTATTTCTTTGTGTGCATTCTTTTGGGTTGTTTTTACCAAGGGACTGACTTGGGTGTGTGTGTGTGTGGGGGGGAACTCTGTCACTGAGTGCTTTATGAAGACATCCAGCCTCAGCCGGTGGCAGAAGTGTGTCTGTGTTCCTTGTCTTATAAAAGGAGAAACAGAAACGTCCGCAATGTGGAGGGCCCCGTTTGTTTCCATAAGCTAAAAAGACATTATTTCCTGAACTATAAATATAATAGGAAGCTTCTGGTCACACTTAGGAATTTGTTAGGGTTTCCATGTCTGATTTCACATTATGCCAGGATTTCTTTTTCTTGCTCTTTCCTCTGCTTCATTGTTGGAGACTCTAGGAGAGCAAGACAGAATTTCCTACCAGAAATGGAGTGATTTTCATTTGTGGAGATGGGTATATTCTATATCCAAACAACTAGTAAGGAGAGAGTAAACCACATCTTGAAAGATGAGTTAAGAAAGAGGAAAATAATTTTTTTTTTTTTTTTAGCTTAAAAGATGCCCTTCGCAGTCTCTTCCCCTGTCTTTGCTGGGGAGGGGAGGTCTGTGTGTGGCTTGCCCACCATGGAGAGTACAAAGTATAGTGTCTCCATCCCTTTGGCTGATCAGAGGGAATTTCCCTTCAGTCAATGACAAAACTATAAACGGGGCTCCCAGGCATGACTGAGAGGCTCAGTCCAGGCTCCCACTGACATAAAAGAGGGGATCCATAGTCCTTACCATTCTAAGCCCCAGAACTGGAGGATCTGCCCAGGTTTGTTTTGTTTGGTGTTTTTCTCAAGGAAGTCTGTCCCCTCACCAGATCCCCTCCCCATAAACTGTTCTTTTCAATAATAATATTTGTTATGAAGGTTATTGGGTAATTATTGCGATTTTGTGAAGCAGCCTTTGCTTGAGGTGAAGTCTGTCATCGCCTAACAAATGACGCCCGTGCAGTTCACTGCCGGGTTAAGTAAATGCGGGGAAGATAAATCTGCACACCCTAGGACTCGCCAGCAGAGCACGCTTTAGTACAAGTTCACAGTCAACTCGCCCGCCTGGGCCAGCTCTCCCAACAATTAGGGCTGCGTCTTTATTTTTAAATAAAGAAAAAAATATCTTCAATTCCCACTGCTTGCTTTCTCCCCATCTTCCTTTTCCTTTCATTTTTTTTGCAAGGTTCTCCCAGCCCATTCCAAATTTTCCTTGTAAATGCAATCACCAGTGATTTCAAGGTAATCTAGTTCCTATCTAAGCTCTGGCAAAAAGAGGTAGGAAACTGATTTGACAGGAAATATAGTCACAATCCCCCCCCCAAGAATAAAAATCCCATTCACTCTCTTATTCCAAAGGCAGTGGGAGAAGTAGGGCGTCCCTGAGATCCTAGGGGGCCCCTTCCCCCTGAAAGAAGCAGCACAGCTTTGTGTATCTTTGTGGTTGGTGCGTTACAACTGCAGGTCAAAAAGTTGAGGGTCAAAAGTTTACGTTGTGCAGCACTCTTAGTCATCTGCCCAGACAGAGTTTGATGTCAATGTTAGAGCTGCGATCTTGACTATCAGCACAAAAGATAAAATGGCTCGGAGTGACGCGTGTATCATGGTATGGACTCCAGGTGAACCCTAGTGGTTGAATGACCTCAATTACGGAGGAAAGGATAGAGAATTCCTCTTTTCAAGAGTAATATACACTGTATTTCATCTTGAATTATCACTCCCATTCTGAGAGAATAGCAGCAGGTAAATAGGCATAGATTACTGAAACACCAACACCTTAGATGCTGGAGAACCAGGAATCTACTTGTGGGTTTGTCACAAAACAAAAGTGCTCAAAAATCAACAGAAAATCCCTAAAAGAATAATGTAGCAAGTTCCCAATGTTCCATTCTAGCTTCAAAGGCAAGAGCATGGGACAAGAAACCTTTATTTATTTTTAAAAGTGATTTTGATTGGCCGGGTTGTTGTTTTTTATTTTTTAATGACCCCTAAAATGTGCGAGACATGAACAAACACAAACACTTCTTTTAAAATGTATTTTTTATGATTTTCAAAACTAGATAATGCTTTTTCTGGAGCTGCCACCCAATGATGGGATTCTCCCCTCCACTCCTCCAGTGAGGAAATGGTTGTTATTGCCATAAAAGTGCCCCTGTTGTTTGAAATTTTTAAATTACCTTTATTGTTAAGCCTCAACCAAACATAAGAAATGCTACTACCATCTATAAGTGAATAACTAAACTCCAGAGTATGTGCCATTTGAGCAGGAAGGTAGAATACACAAATGCCAGGTCACTTTCTAAGATCAATGACCATGGCAGAGTGCTGCTTTCCAGAAAATACTTTTAAAAAATACATTTGGAGTAGAAGCTAAGGAGAGTGAGGGGGGAAAAAAAAAACTAAGTCAGAAGGATGAGAGAATGGAAAAGAAAGGGAATAATGTATTAAGGAAGCAGACTGGAACCATGCCTTGTGTGTGAGTTGCAACTAGACAGCTAGACAATATTTGATTTTTCCTGCATATAGATTGGCTGTAAGTGTTGGTACCATTAGAATTTATTTTCTGGGGTCATATTTTCCTTTTCTATGCACTGATCTTTAACTGATCAGCCTAGGTAAGAAGAGAAGAAAAAGATGTTTTGGATTTTTTTAGGGTTTAAAAAAAAAAAACTTTAGATAGGTAACTCTACTGTTCAAAATAGGCATTTTCAGGGATTTGTTTAAGATTATCCCAATGCATTTTTGTTGGTTGGATTTAATGGTGCCAGGTATGTTCAGTGGCAAAATAAATATTACCCAAACACTGTCTTCATGGAAGTAATTAGGTTGTTTCCACTGTGCAATGTGTAAAGTTTTCACTCTGGCCAAGAGTTTGAAGCCAAATGGGGGTGTGCCAGATGAAAATAGAAAAGAAACAACTGTGGTGATTGCTGTTACAACAGGGAACACTTTACCACATCTGAGCTAGTGAGCTAAAGAAAACTGAAACCCTCTCTATTACTCACCAAGACAATTAAGTGTCTCTTCAAGAAAATCTTTTCATTATATTTTAGGTTCAAAACACATGACATACCTGGAAACAGTCAGCTTCAATAATCATAGACACCTTTTTAGCTAGTCTTTAAATTAAAAGAAAATAGAACCTACAGAAGTTTTGGTTTGAGAGTGCTTTTTTATCCTGAAAATTCCTGTCTTTAGGCCTCTCATATAATCCTGGTCAAAAATCATGTATAGTTGACATGTAAATTTCAATCTTATATCCTGGGTTGTTTGTTATTTTAAACTATTACAAGGAAATTGCTCTCAAACAATTAATTGATCAAATGACTAATAGATAAAGTGTTGGTCCTCTTGAATGGTATGGCTAGGGTATGTGGGGGGAAGCCCTCTGATGCCATCATAGGCATTTTGAAATTCAGCCATTCCCGTGTTTGCTCCATAGACACGTTCTAGATAGAGAACAGTCTGGGGGACTCTCACTCCAAAGAACAAAGGACAAATACAGTCAATACATTCCATAACGTTTACATTTCCTTTGCTTTTCCCCCTTGGTTTTCCCTGAGAAGGAATGACCTGGGCAAAGCACCCTACTCTCTAAAAGACACTGTATAGACCTTTTAGAAGCGCAAAGTCCAAGGCCGAGGTGAACTTCAGGTCAGCGCGTCTAACAAATATGAAAATGTCGGCTGGTGAAGGGCGCGCCTTGTGATTTAACAAAGACTGTCAATGTGTAAGATTAATAAGAAACAAAATGCACACGGTGTCACTGTTCGGTCACTTTGAAACTTGGGACAGGGTTGCATTCAAGAGGGAAGGCTGTTCCAAATATATTCAAAATGATTCAAATCAGATTCAAACCAGGCTGCAAATGCTGCCTCCCTCTTGCCCTCCCTCTCCCTCGGATTCCCTTCACTCTCCTCCATCTGGGATGCGAGGACAGGATGAAAAGTTACTTCACTTAATGGGATTTTAAGAAAGCTTTTGTTGGGAATATATGTTATCCCTGCACATGGAAATGAGCAAATGTGCTTACTAGTTTCCCAAGAAAAGGATAACACTTTTACCCTGCTTGGGATTGGAGCCAGTTGGTGTGCGAAGATTAGCACGCTCCCTCTCTGCTTGATTTCAGGGCATCCCATCTTTTCTCTGGTGAGATGCTGCTGGTAAACTTTAGTTTGTTTATTAATTGAGTTAGTTTATTTCTGGCATTGCTTTGGTGTCTTGGGTCTTATATTAAGGCAAGAGGTGTCTTTTAAAATGTTTTTCAAAAGGTTATTTGATTCAATGGAATGATGCTATGGCTTGCAAAGGGAGATTGTGGAAGGATGAGAAAAGGTACTGAGATTGTTTATTACAGCCATAAATCTTGCAGTAAAATGTCAAAATGTCGGTGTGTAAGATAACACTTGGTGGTCCTGGCTCCGTTTGTGTTTATGATACGAACCACAAAGACAAGTTACAGGCCTTGGGGGATTCTGTGTAAGCCCATCTTCCTCAAGTAATAGAACCACATGAAACACAGGCACAGTTAACTCATTTAGGTCAGCCATATACAAAAAAGTGCCAGTGACTCGATAATACTTAAAAACAGAAACTCGGTAGGAGTTCTGAGGTTAAACAACAATGAGTTTTGTATTTTAGTGTCCGTAAATAATATTTAACAGGCATCCTTAAGTCCTAGTACTCAAGGCTGATGACATGGGGGGGCAAGATTTCCTTGTCATGATTTTTCTCCCCCTGAGGCTTAGAGAGCCCAGATTGTAATATATATTATATCATAATATATGTACATACTATTTATATGATATATGTATATATGATTTGCTCTTGCTGTGGAAAGACGCTGGTTTGGGCAGCTGTATCAGAAGCTAGATTTTTTTTTTCCAAGTCTAGAGAGGATGTCTACAGATTATACTCAGTGGTGATTTCTGTTCACAGCTCATGTTTCATTAAAAACAAAACAAAAAAATAGCAGGGTGCCACACGTCAATGGACAGCACTCTATACACACACAATGTACAAAACCTCTTTGTACCACTTCAGGGTGATTCCAGTCAGAAAGCTAACAGGATTCCTTTTTTAACCTCTTTTCCTAAATTAGTTTAAAGATTACTCCCATATAATAGCCTTTATGTGCCTAAGCATTATATGACTATCCATCAAATGGATATATTCCAGCATTTAGTAACTCCTATGAGTAACTGATATAAATGAAGATAGGATTGACATTCCTTTTGAAGTGTCTCCAGGCTTAGGCTATAACTTTCCTTGTCTGCATGTTCCAGACTCAGTTGTGAGAAGGCTGTTTATACTGCTTTGTAAAAAATCATCTAAGGTGCACCAGCTGAAAAATCCTTGTTTTGCATGCCAATATGAAAGTATTTTTAGAATGGTGACTATGCTAGTTTGCACTTCTTTAATCTAGGTGGAAAAGTAGAGGATTTAGGTGTGTCTGTAAGTCAGAAAGGGAAAGTACACGGCACGAATAAAGGCATCAGTATTTACTTCAAAGAGCAACATTAGGTGGAATTAATAAGTAATTTATTTGTTAATAATGGCATAATTAGTTTACCCATCAAATTTCAATTACCAAATGGCAGGCAACAGTCCTCTCTCTCTCCTTTCCGAAACTACTGATAGCGTTACAATGCTAATTTTCAGCAATTCAGAAATTATTGACTGTCCTGAAAATATTACTCTAGCCTGAGAAAGCAGCATTCAAAGGAGAAAACACAAAATTGCTAACTTGAAAAGATGTGCCAGCTACCAGGCCAAGCCCTGTGTTTAGTCTATCGTTAGCTTGTTTGGGGGAATTGTTTCAAAATGGAAAGTTGTTGGTTTCGGAAGCTCGGTTTTATGGAGTCGTCGCTTCTATCCATTGCCGCCCTGGGGCCACCATCTCTCTCACAATAGCATCTCGTAAACGCGGGCGTGTTTAGCTGTCACATTGGTGTCTTTAAGAAATGAGACGCTATTACTAAGGCGCAAATTTTTTTAAGAAACAAAAATTATATTTTTTAAAAAAGAATAATTAAAGTGCCCACCTCGTTACATTGAAACGATCTCACTTTACCTACTAGGGCCAATTTCTTTCAGCTGCGCACCCACCCACCCGCTGGGGCTCCTGGCCGGTTTCTCAACGCAGGAGCTCTCAGACGTGGGGAGCAGGGAGTGGGTAAGGGTATCTGAGGGTGAGAAAACCAGTCCGTCGGCCTCATTCGTTTTATTCTGAGCCTAGGATAAAAATCAGGATGTCTCTTTGGTCCGGGCGCCTTTCCTCCTTTAGTTGGCCTCGAACCACGGAGGGCGCCCGAGGTCAGTGTGGGGCTGCCCTGAGGCCTAGGCCAGGGGCAGGGCACACATAGGGCCAGCCCAGGGCGTCCAAGAAGATCAGCAGCCGCGCGGACCTGAATTCCTAGCGGTACTCAAAGTTGCGGGGCTGGGGTACTAAACTGCCCACTCCCTCCCACTTCCCCAGGCCAGACAGCAGCATCTATCACCCGCCCGCACGCTTCCTGATCCGGGTCCGCGCGCGCGGTGCACCCATTGGCTGGGACGAGCCACGTGGGAAGTGGGGCGGGGCGCGCGCGGGGCCGTGGAGAGACCGCGCGCGCACGCGCGCGCGGGCGGGGGGAGAAGCGGCGCGAACTTTGGCGGCGGCAGCCTAGGCGGCCGGAGGGGGAGGGGCGGGGGCGTGACAGGGGGGGGGGGGGAAGAGCGCAGAGGAAAGGGGGGATGGGAAGCGAGGCAGGAGGGGGAGGGGCCTCCGCGAGCCCAGAAAAACGACAACGCGAGAAAAATTAGTATTTTTGCACTTCACAAATTAATGACCATGAGCTCGTTTTTGATAAACTCCAACTACATCGAGCCCAAGTTCCCTCCTTTCGAGGAGTACGCGCAG